AATGGAGTTGGAGAAGATAATACTAAGTGAAGTAAGCCAATTCCCAAAAAACAAATGCTAAATGTTTTCTTTGAGATAAGGTGACTGATTTATAGTGGGATGGGGGTGGGGGAGCATGAAAGGAATAGACAAACTCTAGATAAGGCAGAGTAGTGGGATGGGAAGAGAGGAGGCAGGGGGTTAGCAAAGTACAGGTATGAAGACAAGAATTAGTGTGAATATACATTCTATACAACCAAAGTTATAAAATTGTGTTCTATATGTGTAATATAATTGTAATGTATTCTACAGTAATTTATTTTAAAAATCAGAAAAAAGAAAGAAATAGCAGAATAATGACTGCCAGGGGCCCAGGGGTAGTTGGGCTGTGGACTGGTAAGGTGCTGGTCACAGGAGACCAAATTACACTTAGATGGGAGGATTGAGTTTAAAGGGTCTACTATCCAATATAATGACTACAGTTAACAACATACAACAGAATGACTATGGTTGATAATTTTATATACACTTGAAAATGACTCAGACAGTCGATTTTAAGGGTTATCATCACAATTAAGTAATGAAAGGGTGTATATGTTCAATAGCTTGACTCAGCCATTCTTCAGTGAATGTTTCAAGATATGTTGTATGCCATAATCATGTAAAAGTTATCATCATCAGGGATTGATCCCAGGGTTGTTTAACCACTGAGTCACATCCCCAAAATATTTTATTTTTTATTTTGAGAGAGAATTGTGTCATAAAGCCCGCCCCATTAGTGAGGGAAACTTGGAGTTTATTTAGTTGTGTAGATTGCTACCTCCTTCCCCAAACTGGAACTTTGTTAACAGAAAGAGAAACAAATAGAGATAGGATGAGCAACCAGCACTGCCTTGTTCAATTAGCACTGGGCCTGAAAGTGGGTAACCATCACCAAACTTCTCCCCATGCCATCTCCCCAGGAACCATATTATATGGTCTCTGTATTAGCCTGCTTTCTCTGGCTCTAACAAATTACCGAAGAATGGGTACTTTAATAAGAGATGAGGTTTATTTAGCTCAGAGTCCAACATTTGGCAGCCCCTGTGACTAACCTTTGGTGAGAGTGCTCACAACATGGTGAATGGCATCATGGTGAGAGGAGATGCAAGGGGTCGAGATTTCATGGCCAGAAACTGGGGAGCATGAGTCTTGTTCTTCTTATAACAAGCCTCTCTCACAGGAACTAATGGAGGCCCATGAGAATTTCATTACTCCCTTCCAAGGGCCTCATTCCCAGTGGCACAATTACTTCCCTCTAGGCCCCACCTCTTGCAGGTGTTACCAGCTCAA